TAACACAGTAAGAGTCTGAATGTTGACAAACAGCACCTTTACCCTGTCTGGATTTAACTTCATCCAGCCAATTATCAAACTTAAGGAGTGTTTAAGGGATTGATTGCTCTATTGCTCCTCACCGTGCAAAACTAAGGAAGCAAAGTGTCATCAGTGTGACTACCATCAGCATTTTTATACAGATGTTGAACAAATTGGGGACACCATAGGTGAACTACCAGGTGTCAAATAACTGATCTTCACCACCTTCTAAGCATAACCTGACAGAGTAATTGAGAGTCAGGTGGTATACAAACTAGGTGGAGGTGGTGGTAGTCATCTGGAAGGAGATCATGCTAAACGATAAGGAAAACTGCCAAGAGGTTCAAGAGAACAGTCACAGCGACACTCCACACATCTAGTTCCCAGCACAAAACATTCACCAAGTCAATCAAACCAGTTGCACTATTTATATACTGGTTGAAAGTCCACTGAAATATGTGCAGATAATCAACATAATTTAAATGTGTCTGGTGCTGCAAAGCTATTGCCTTTTTCAGAAACTGAATATTTAAGATTGGCTTATAAGTGCACTACTCTCCAGCTTCAAGGGAGGGTTTCTTCAACAGAGGTCTTATTACAGGTTGTGCATATTTTGAAAGTTATTTGGAAGAAATGCTTCAGACTTTGTGCAAACACAGAACATGTCTATTATTACACACACTTTTTAGATTTCTGCATAAGCCTAACAAAAATGCTACTATTTAAGGGTTGCATTGGCCTCTTCTGCAGCAGAATTGGACTTCAGATGGGCCTTACTCTATGCTAGATCTGATTATCTGAAGAGTTCCTTCACTTGCTGATATTCCATTTGCTTCACTGACATCAGCTCCCTTATAAACCAAGAGGCTGATCTGGCCATGTAAACCAAATCTCCCACGTTTCACAGATCAGGTAGGGAACTGACACTTATAACCAACAAAAAATGGGGAAAATTCCCTAAGTGTATTCAGGAACCACCCAGATCCATCAGGCATTTAGGTCACACCATTTTAGCAAGTCTTCTGACCCAGCAGGGATTTGTTTAACTACTTCCTACACAATTATCACCATGGTATAGAGATGCTAGTTATGGTGGGGTAGAAATTTTATTGTCCACAGTTATAAAACCTAGTGAATTCAACAGGGAAAATAAAAATCCCTTCAATGAAAGAA